TCGAGGTACATTCTCTCCTTCTAATATTTTATAGACGAAGCACCAGTTGTCATCTGTGAAAGTTGTGGCGGAAAGTCGTGTTACATTCACAAAGTTATTTGGCACACGGGTAAAACTTGCGAAGAATACGAAAAGGACAAGAAACAATCGGACTTTGCTACCGAAGACTATATTTCACTAAATGTGAAGAGATGTCCTAAATGTTTAATGCCTATCGAGAAAAGTAGAGGATGTGATCATATGACTTGTACGTGCAAGTATCAATTTTGTTGGCTGTAAGTATTTTGATCTATCTATTTGTCAAAAAACAAGAAAATTGAAATTAATTTCATTCTTTATTAGATGTCTACATGAACACCCCAATCATCAACCTAATTGTAAAAAATATTAAACATGTGATGTGCTTGTAAAATATTTTGATTTAATTGTTAAACATTATTATTTTCCTCTTCAATAAAATCATTAACTAATGTTTCAGGATCATAATTAAAATTAGAAGTATTTACATTTAAATCTTTAAAATAATGAAAACATATATCAATATGTTTATAAATAACTAAATAAATAACAATTTAACACATCACTCCCAGACCTTTCTAGTTTATATTTAATCATATAATCTTGGATTGAATGCTGTTCTCTAATGTTAAGAATATATTTCCAACATATTTTTCTTTCTCATATAAATTCTATAATTCTGTGAAAGAAATTACCAGGATATGTATCAAAACAAGGTCCTAGTATTATTTTTTTTTTTTATAGAATGAAATATATAGTACGCGAAATATATACCGCGCGTACAAAGCAAATCTGTCCTTATTTGACTGTGAAATAAAGTGATTTGAGTTACCAAGCCCCGAATCACAAAAAAAAAAAAAAAAAAAATTATGATATCGCTAAAATTCCGACGACGATTATTGTTAAATATTAATCGAATTCGACCTCAAATTCATAATAATCAACGAATTTATCAAGATAATAATAATAATAATCCAATTATTATTACCATTTCCAGAAGAAACATAACAAATAATAATAATAATCGACAAAATTATTATCAAAATAATTATCAAAATAATTATCAAAATAATCAAAAAAATATTTTCAAAAATCCAATCTCTACTGAAGATTTGGATGCACTTTTACCTCACGAACATCCACCTTCAATTTCATATTTTACTGCTCGACCTACATATAATGATTTATTTATAAATTTAGATGATTTAATAAATAAATATAAAAAATATCCTAAGAAACAACAACAACAAATTTTTGAAGCCAAGGTAGATGATTTAGATAAAGTAAATGCTAACAATAATAATAACAACAATAATAATAATACAATTAATGCAAATGATACAAATGATGTAAATGGGTTAAATGGTGTAAATAATGTAGATATAGTAAATTCCAATAACAATAATAATAATAAAAATGAATCAGTTACATTATGGAAATTAAAAAATCAATTAGAAGTAGATTTGGGATTAAATTTAAAATCCAATCAATATAAATTAATTACTCGAAAGTTGAATCAATTGGCACAAATCAATCCGGAATTAACACCTCGATTACAAGATTTTTTGGTCATATTTAAAAGGAGGGATTTAGAGAAGGCCAAAAAAGAATTACAAGCCAATAAAACGTTGGATCAATTTGGTAGAGCGTACGCAGTGGGTCGAAGGAAAAAATCGGTGGCACATGTTTGGTTGGTTCGAGGGCAAGGACATGTACTCGTCAATGGAATTCCATTAGCCAATTATTTTAAATTGTTAAAAGATAAAAATTATGTTTTAAAGCCTTTTCAGGTTACTAATTTATTGGGAAAATTTAATGTTTGGATTAGAGTTAAGGGAGGTGGAAATACTGGTAATTGAATTAATTTAATTTAATTTAATTTGATATTTGAATTTTGATATTTGATATTGATATTTTTGAATTAATTTATTCCATATCAAATTTAATTTAACTTAATTTAATTGAATTGAATTTATTCCATATTAATTTATTTTAAAGGTCAAGCGGGTGCAATAGTGAATGGACTTTCCCAATGTTTACTTATACATGATATAAATCTTAAACCGATTTTAAGAAAGGGTAAAAATTTTATTTTATTTTGTATATATTCTTTATATTTTTCTAATATTTTCTAACTAATCAATTAATTGAATAATAATAATAATATTATTATTATTATTATTATTATTAGATAAATTAATAACAAGAGACTTTCGTAAAGTGGAAAGGAAGAAACCGGGTCTTGCCAAGGCTAGAAAATCATATACATGGTATATATATATATATTCTTATATTCCTTTAAATATTATAAATTATTCTTTAAATATATACATTACTAATAATTTATTTTTTTTTAATTCAGGGTCAAACGATAAAATTGATGAATTTATCATCTTTTTTCTTCATGGGAAATCAAATATATGTATGTATATATCAAAAATACAAGTATAATATTATATAATTCTCTATTATACATATTATTTCACATTTTATTTCATTTACGAGATATGTATATTATGTTCATCCAAAATAGAATTAAAGGGAATTCACTTATTTTAAAATTCAAAATAAATAAATAAATTAATTTGTTTTCACGCTCGCGTTATTATAATCTTTATAATGTCACCAAACTATATTACATTTATCACGCTCCTCGCATCATGGTTTTTCCTCTAAATAAATAAATAAATAAATAAATTAAAAATTACGAATAAATAAACAAAACAGACAAAACAGACAAACAAACATATAAATATATAAAATGTACATACGTAATAGTCTTCTTTTCCACACTGGGTAAATCAGGTTTAGCTCTATTAAGTACTTTCAAAAATTCTTGTACTCGAGCTCTCATTCGGGAATGCATGTAAGCTTTGGAACATTTAATATGATAATGAAGGTAATCTCGAAATAATTGAATTTGAGAAATTGTTTTATCTCTTACTTCCCCCTTTACAAAGTGACGAGGGAATAATACTATTATTATTATTATTTCCATTATTAAAATTTAAAAAATATTCTTATTAATAATATAATAGAGATAATAAGAATAATAAGGGTAAAAAAAAATAAAGGTAATAAAAGAAATTTTTACCAAATGTAACATAACCAAGGTTTTCTCGATCTTCAATTCTTTTGAATTCTGGTAAATGTCTAATTTCTAATGGAGGTTCTTTAATAGAATAAAGTACTTGAGGTGCATTTTGAAGAGCTGGTCGACGACGTGCATCAACAAATTCCTGAATTTCGAAATTAAAAAACATTATTATTATTATTATTATTATTATTATGAATAATATAAAAATATTTTAAACGATTGTGAAAAGTGAAAAGTGATGTAACTGCCCGAAGGATCACACACATACACACACACACACACACATATATATGGACCATATCAAAATACCTGTAAAAACACTTTTCCAAATATTCTATCGGTTTCTTCTTTAAACAATGTAGAAAAGATAACCGTAACTCTATCATTTTGAGCTTGAATATAAATAGCTTCTCGATCTCTATATCGAATTTGCATTAATTCAGCTGTTTTTGGGGTGGGGGCGATGAGGGGATTCTTATTATCTTCCTTCTCAAATTGGGCTTGTTGTTCAAATGCTTTTTCAAATGGTATGGCTAATAAATCACGTTTAATTAATGATAACTTTTTAACAAATGCTTCTCTTTCCTCTAAATATCAATTAGAATAAGATAGAATAAGATAGAATAAGATAGAATAAGATGATGATGATAAATGATTAATAATAATAATAATAATTAACTATAACTTTTAATTAAATGAACTTTAATTGAATTAACTATAAATGACTATAATAATTAACTAATTACTAACAATAATTAATTAATTAATCATAATTAACCTTAATTAACTATAATTAACCCATAATTAACCAATTATTAATATTAACCTTTATTTTCAGGTAAATTCAGTACATCAAATTCCAAACTAAAATCATATCCTTCCTCAATTTGTGTTTGACAATAAGAACCATATTCTTTTTGTAACAAGTCTTTTGCTCCCAATTCATTAAAACATTGCATCGAGAGTGAAAATTTGATTATATTTCTAGATTGAGAATTTGATATACGATATGAGACACCATCAAAATCAACAATTTTACTATCCAACGTAGTTGTTTCGAGACTAACAAAAAAAAAAAAATTAAATTTAATTAATATTTAAATTATTTATAATATACTTTTTCGAGGTAAAAATGAATAAAATAGAGATTACCTAATAACTGGTTGCCTCAATGTTTCTTCAATGACAGCATTATGATAATCTAATAAAATCATTTTTTTTTAACTTTAACGATAAGTAATGGTTGATGATACTACTTTTTGACAATTTTTTAGAATGTACATAAAAATCACATGTAACCAATTATAATAATTGTAACTATACTATGTCCCAAATATAGATATATAATGTAGAATGAAAAAGTATATAAAAAAATAAAAATATAAAAAATGTTTCTAATTTTTTAACTTTCTAAAAGATGAGTTCTGGTAAGTAAATTATTAAAATTATTATTATTATTATTTTAATACATATATATATTATTTACATATATAAATTTTAATTATCACTTTATAGGTTTTGAAAATGCACCTATAACAAGAGGTTTATTACTTTGCATAAGTGGTTGTTCGTTAGTTACTTATCTTTTAGATCGTAGGTCTTTAGTTCACTTACAACTCATCCCTAATTTGACATCACAACACGAGGTGAGTTTTTTTTTGATAAGATTATTCTTTAATTTTAAGGAAATTATTAAAAAATTATAATTTAACTAATTTAATTTGATTTAAAAGTTTTGGCGTCTAATAACGTCACAATCTATATTTACATCATCGGGTGAATTTTTTTTGGGAACTATAGTCTTATATCGATTACGAGTAATTGAACGACAATTTGGATCATCTAAATATGCGGTATATAATTTATATAATTATTAATAATATAAATAATTTATTAATATAAATAATTTATTAATATAATAATTTATTAATATAATAATTTATTATTATAATAATTTATTAATATAATAATTTATTAATATAATAATTTATTATTATAATAATTTATTATTATAATAATTAATTATCAAACAATAATTAATTATCAATAATAATAATCACAATCACTGTATAATTATATATTATAGTCATTCTTTTTTGTAACATCAACATTATCAACAATATTTGAAATTGGAGCATTAACCATTGGAAATAAATATGGATTAACATATCTTCCTGCGGGACCTTATGGATTTATATTTTCAGCAATTTATCAATTTTATGAAATAATTCCTCCCATTTATTATTATAAATTTTTGGGAATTAATTTTAGTGATAAGTTTTCGTTGTATTTCTGCCTTTTACCGGTAAATATTTTATTTATTTGAATATTAATTTATTTAATTTAATTTATTTAATTTAATTTATTTAATTTATCTAATATTAATTTATATACTAACATATAATATTATATCAATTTATCATTAATTATAAAATTGAATAATATATATTATTTTTTTTTATACTATGGACAATAATATGAATATATAATTATGGATATTAGTTTTTAGCTTATAAATTTCCATATTCAATAGTTGCAGGAATTTGCGGTATATTAGCGGGTGTAATATATCGACTCGATTTATGTAATATAAAAAAATGGCGACTTCCTCAATTCATTAATCGATTTACATCAAGGTTTTTATCAACCAACACCAACACCAGTAATGTAACTAGATCAATTAGGAATGATTCGGATTTACGGACAACAATTAATACAATTAATACAATTAATAATAATGATGATAATCAAATTGTGGACGCATATAATAATAATAATAATATAAATGATTATAATAATAATAATAATAATAATAATAATATAAATGATTATAATAATAATGATATGAATGATAATAATAATAATAATAATAATAATAATAATAATATGAACGATCAGCAATCATCATCTATTCCTGCTGTTATGGTAAGTTTTATATATTTACATTTTTTTCCAATATCCAATTTCCAATATCCAATATCCAATATTAATTATTAATTATTAATTATTAATTATTCTTTTTAAATATTAACAGCAACGATCAACAACATCACAATCATCATCTGCACAATCTTTAAATCAAGAATATTATGATAATCTGCAAGCAATGTTTCCACTCTCACCTCAAGAAAGTATTACGCGCGCTCTCATTTCATCCGATAATGACATTAACAGAGCCGTTCAATTTCTTCTTGATCATTATTCTTAATTCTTAATTAATTAATTAATTAATTATTATAATTATTATTCTTCTTCTTAATTATTATTCTTAATTTTATTCTTTAATTCTTAATTAATTTTTCTTAATATGATAAAAATCCTATCCTATTAAAAAACAAATAATTATTTATACCGTTCATAATAATTCTCATGTTGATCATGTCATGTCAATTCAATTCAATTCAATTCAATTGAGTGTATTTGTTAAAAATAATAATAATTTTCATTCCTAGATTATATTGATTATATTGATTCTATTATTATTTTTGATGTTTTTAGATATAGATAGATAGATATATATATAATAATATATCTGTAAGTAAGTGTAGATAGATATATATACTGTACGTTTATTTTTATTTTTATTTTTATTTTTATTATTTATTAAATATAAATTTTTGAATAAAATTTATAATATTTCCAAAAATATATATGATCCCGATTAGGAAATATTTTTCGATCAACTGATATATTTGACATAATTGATAAACGTAGATTGACATAATTCATTTTTTTTCTTTTTCCAAATCAAATCAAAAAAAAAAAAACTCATTATATAATAAAGTTATAATAAAATTATAATAATAATTTGATAATAATAATATAATATTAAAAAAATAATAATAATAATAAAATAATAATAATAATAATAATAATAATTATAATTATAATTATAATTATAATAATAATAAACTTTATAGTAAAGTAATGTTAAAATATTTAGCTCAAGCACTTCGCTTGTGCTTTTATGGAACAGCCTTGTTTAGGTATATTATTTATAATTATTTTATTATTAAATATTATCATTAATTAATTATTGATTAAAATTATCATCAAATTATTATCATTTGCTTTGTTAAATAGTTTTGCGCTTAGTATAAATATAGTTCAAATATGTTCGTTATTATTGATATCACCATTTTCACGAAGAATACTATGGAATATTAATTCACGAGGTGCACATTCCATGTGGTGGATTATGCAAGTAAGTTAATAAATTGAAATTTATTAATTCATTTAATTAATTCATTATTTATGGATTTATTCATTAATTTAATTCATTAATTCATTATTTATTAGTATATATTCGAGGTAAGTAGTAAAAATGTTAAATAATAATTATTTATAATGATTATTATGAAATAATGATATAATTATTATTATGATTCTTATTAATTTATTTATTCAATTATTATTTATTTATTTATTTATTTATTTATTTATTTATTTATTTTTATTTATTATTAGCGCAAACATAAAGCAAAAATTACATTTTCAGGAGATCAAATTCCATCAAACGAAAGTGCCATAGTAATTAGTAATCACAGATCTTATTCGGATTTTTATATGTTACATTCAGTTGCTATGCGTAGAAAGATGTTACCACATGTTAAATATTTTGCTAAAGATTCCTTAAAATATGTGTGTATTATTATTATTATTATTATTATTATTATTATTATAAGATTATTATAAAATTATTTATTTATTATTATTTAATTTATGATCATTTATTTATTTGTTATTTTAGATTCCTTTCTTTGGATTTGGAATGTGGGTGAGTATTTTTTATTATTTTTTTATTTTTTTAATATATTTAATTTCATTTAAGTATTTTTTTTTTTTAATTTCATTTAATTTTGAATTGGATATAAAAGTTAATGGGAATGATATTTATCAAGAGAAACTGGACCGAGGTAATAATTAACGATTAATAATGATAATTAATTTGTAATGATAATTAAATTAATAATAATTAATTAATAATGATAATAAGGATGAAAATCATCTTAAAAAAATATTTAAAGCTATTAAATCTTATGCAGCACCAATATGGATAGTAAACTTTGTGGAGGGAACTAGATTTAGTCCAAAAAAATTAATAGAGGTAATTCACGCTTATCTATTATTACCCTCGTATTATTATATTTTATTATTATATGTTATTATATATTTATTTATTTATTTATATTATTAATTATTTTATTAGGGTCAACAATTTTCAATGAAAAGAGGATTTCCCGTATTTCAAAATCTTTTATTTCCTCGTACCAAAGGTTTTGTGGCATGTGTTCGTCAATTACGAGATACTCATGTGAAATATGTTTATGGTATTTTATTATTATTATTATTATTATAATAACTATTATTTATTATTAATATTATCCATTAATATAAATTTATTTAAATAATAGATTTTACAATAGTTTATCGTCACATCACAAGAGGTCTTTTCCCACCTAACCTTTTTCATGTTCACGGTTTTCCATTATTATCACCACCTTGGTCATTTCATGTACATGTTAAACGTTACGCTATTGAAGATTTACCTAGAGATGAAGAAAAATTAACTGAATGGGTTCGACAAAAATTTATAGAAAAAGATGCTTTATTAGAAGACATGAAACTTCATTGGACAAAGAGTGAAAAATTGCAAAACGTTCATGAAGAGAAATATTTTTGAAATTTTTTTTTTTACTCATTAATTTATTATTATTATTATTATTATTATTATTGACATTTTGTTTAGAAATAGAATTTCTTTTTAAATATTATATATATGTATATATATCAATAATTATTAAAGATAATATTTTGTTCATTATTTGTTAATAGAAATTATTACAAATTATTATTACATATTATTACATATCATTACATATCATTAAATTAAACAAATTGTCAATCTGTAATTTGTACAGTTATCACCAAGTTATTTTATAATTAAAACTATTTTTAAATTGAATCAAGTACCTATTTCATTTGAAGAAAAAATATTAGATTCGAGAGAGTTTTAGAATTAACACGGGATAATCAATTATTTGGGATTTCAGAACCTATACATAATATTTTAAATATTTTCAATAAAGTATTTATTGATTTATTGGAATTTAAAACAAATGATAATGGCGAAATTCAATATAAAATACATTTGGATGCGAAATTAATACATTCACAAATTCTTACAAAAATAGAATCCAAGTGTCAATGCTCTCACCAAATGTTATAATTTTAGAACTCCTACACAAGATATAGAAATTTTACGAGCAGCTAAAATGTATGAAGAGGATTTTAATATTGGTAACGGATTTTTAGATATTTGCTCAGATGAGGGAATATTAACACATTTTCTAGTTTGATTTGGCATCTGCACTTGGTGAACGGTTTTTAGACAAATTTGAAAGTGTAGTAGATTATCGATCAACGAGACGTTATCATCTGACTCCCTCCAGTTGAGTGACTTAACGGTTCTTTTAAGGAGTTTATAGTAAGACTGTTATTTGGTTGTTTTAGAAGGCACCACTGATTCAATTATTTTAGAAAGGGTAATTGATCTCCAGTTTATAGTTACAGGGTTAATTAATATTTGGTTGATAAGTATTTGGTTGAGTATTATTTCAATTTATTATTTCATTAACACAAGGTTAATTTGGTTGAGAAGAACTTTCATGGTTGATTACTCTTTTTATTATCATTTATTTATTATTCATTATAATTTTATATTCAATTTATAGTTTTTAAATTCCAATAAATATTTTATTTTTCCAGTCGCAGGATAATTTTTATCTTGGAGTTACAAATTATAAAATTACAAATAAATTTAGTGATCTACATTACTGTGCCTTACTGTGCACTATTCCTATTGGTAATTATTTACCATATCCCTTAAACAGTAGTGACGTCACAAGTTACTAATGAATGTTGCCGCAATTCATATGATTTTCCGTTTAAGGAATAATAATAGTTGGGAGAAATTTAACCTGTGCGTAGGGTAACAGATTCTTATCCTATGCCAACAGGGGGGTTAGGGTTTGGGTTATCAGGGGTAGTGTATTTATCACCGCATGTCACACCTTTCGAATATCGAATTTTAAATATCTCAGGGACTTAGAATTTTTTTGTATGCGAAAACTGAGTATACATATAAACTGTACTGTACGAAAATGCTATCTTGTACTGTACAAATAAAAATTAGTGTGACTGTATGATTTTTTTTGTGGCTGTACGGTTGATTAATTAATATCATGTGATATGTTTTCA